CCAGCGAGTCCCTGGCCAGCGGATCCGCCCGCGCGTCCAGGAGCACCTTCGCCGCCTTAACCTGAGCGGGGGCGCCCCGGGGAGCGCCCGCCCGCACGGGGCGGAGGAGCGCCCGCCGGCAACGAGGCGGCACGTTCACCGGGCTCGCTCCGTGCCATGGCTCGGGCGTCCGCTCCCCGTGCGCCGTTGTCGGGCTCGGGCGTGTTGTCTTTTGGTGCGCAAGAGGATCCAGGACGCTCCTCGGATGGTCCTCGCCGAAGACAGCATGGAAACGCCCGAGCGATGCAAAAGTTCAGGGCCTGATGACTCGGGATGAGCGGCTGTGCTCGTGGCGCTTCTCCCTGTGATGACGATGACGATGATGACGATGATGACGATAATGACGATGCTGGTGCTGATGATGATACTGATGATGATACTGATGGTGATGTTGACGATGATGATGACGATGATGAATGAATGAATGAATGAATGAATGAATGAATGAATGAATGAAGATGATGATGATGATGATGATGATGATGATGACGACGATGACTATGACTATGACTATGACTATGACTATGACGATGACGATGACGATGACGATGACGATGACGATGATGATGATGATGATGATGATGATGATGATGATGATGATGATGATGATGATGATGATGATAATGGGCACAGCGACGCAGGGACGGCACAGCAGCCGACTGAGCCGAACCGAGTGCGACCCAGCCGGCTGCCTTGGCAGCCGAACTGCCCGGACCGCGAGCACTCTCGATGTGCCCCCCGCCCCGCGTGCCCACCAACCACCAATTCCCCAATGGGTCGGCGGTGTGGCGTGAGCCCAATAATCACAAAAACAATCTGCGAATGTCATAACATAACCCCGGTGTTTTCACCCAGAGCGGCATCCACCAACAATGTTCGAAAAACACGTTGCACGAACCGCAGCAAACAGCTTGAACATGTCTCCGTCGGCGGCGGGGCAAGGAGGGGGAGGAGGCCACTCAACTTGTCTGAGCCTGCGTTGCTGGGCCCACGGGCAGGACGAAGCGCGTCGTCGCTCAACAAGTTTTGCTCGGCGTTAGGTCGGGCCTGTCCCCCTACAGGGGGACTTTGGGCGACAGAAAAATACCCCAAGAATACCCCCAAATGGGCAGACATAGTCAAAAAACCGTCCCCTGACTGTTGTCTGACTATGTTTGAATATTCCTCCTGTGGAGGGACAGGCAGGCCCGACTTCAGGCTAGCGAGCCGCGCCGACGCGTGGCGGTCCAGAACCAACGGGCGCGGCACGCTGGACAAAACTTCGGCGGCGAGCGAGGGGGGGAGACGAGAAGGAGGAGGCCCTTTCAGGAGGCGGCGGGACTTCTCAGAGGCCCTCGCGCCTTCCGAGGAGTGTTTGTCGTGTCTTCGGGGAAGGCTTGAGAAACTTCTCCGACGGCCAGTGGACTCCCGAGCCGTCCGAAAGGGCCCGCCCCTTCCTCCTCCTCCTCCTCATCCTCCTCCTCCTCCTCCTCCTCCTCCTCCTCCTGTTCCTTCTCCTCCTTCTCCTCCTCCTGCCTCTTCCTCCTCCTCCTCCTCCTCCTCCTCCTCCTCCTGCGCCTTCTGCCTCCTCCCTCTCCTCCTCCTTTTCCTCCTCCTTCTCCTCCTTCTGCTCCTCCTCCTCTTCCTCCTCCGCCTCCTCCTCCCGGGATCACCGCCGAGCCGCGCTACCAGACACTCCCCCCCCGGGGCTCGCCGACGAAGAATCCCCGACCGCATCCCGGGCACATGCTGTACCCGGACGTCAGACATCCACGGAGCGGGACAACCACCGCGCCCCGAAGCACGTAGGGCCCACGCCGCCTGCGATGGCGCCGCGGCGCACCAACCCTGCGTGGCAGCGGGGCCCCTCGCCTGCAGAATCATCGCCGTGCCCCTTCCTCGCGCGCTCCCGCGCACGGAACGGGACATCGCGCGCCCCGAAGCAAGGGGTCCACGACGCCCGAGCCGGCGCCGCGGCGCGCCGACCTTGCGTGGGAGCGGGGCCCCTCGCCTAAACAGAAATCCGCCGACCCCTTGGGTCATCGGCGTGTGAGATGCTTCCCCCTCCCCAAACCCCTCCCCCGGGAACCCGGTCCGGTCGATTTGGAGGGGGGGGGGTGCCCACGACGAGCGACTCACGACGCTTTTCCGGGCCCAGAAGGGCCCAAATACGGGCCAAGAAGGCCCCAAGAGGCCTCCCAGACGTTCCAAGAGGCCCCCAGACGCCCCAAAAGACCGCCTAGACGCCCTAAGAAGCGCCCGCGAGGCCCCAAGAGGTTTCCAAGACGCCCCACGAGGGCTCCAAGACGCCCGAAGAGACCTCCAAGACGCCCCAAGAGACCTCCAAGAGGCCCTCGAGGAGCGCCCCAAGACGCCAACATCGTTGATTTTCATTTGTTTTTTTTCCGATGTTTTCGTCATTCTCGCCTTTTCGGCCTTCCGACGCTCCAAGACAGCCCAAGAAGCTCCCAAGACTGCTCCAAGACGGCCCAAGAGGCCTCCACGACGCCCCCAAGACGGCCCAAGAGAGCCCCCAGACGGCCCAAGAGCCGCCCAAGGCGGCCCAAGAGAGCCCCCAGACGGCCCAAGACCCGCCCAAGACGGCCCAATAATCTCCCAGAGACGGGCCCAAGAGGGGCTCCAGAGAGAGACCACGCACCGGAAAACCCAGCCTTACGCCCCAAGGGGCCCCCAGGAGGCCCCAAGAGGCCCCAAAGAGGCCCCAAAAACCCCCCATGAGGCCCCCAAGACGTTCCAAGAGGCGCCCAAGAAGCCACAAAGAGGCCCCAAAACGGTCCCGAGAACCTTCGAAACTGCTCAGAGAGCCCCGCAAGAAACCCCCCCGCAAGATCCCAACGGACATCTCCGAACACACCGGTTTTTCGAGTCGCGCCCAGCCCCATAAACCGGAGCCTCATCTCCGTGCCCCCCTCCTTCTCCTCTTCCTCCTCCTCCTACACTTCCTCCTCGTTCCCCTCCTCCTCTTCCTGCCCCGCTTCAGCTCATCCTCACCGATGCTTCTCCCCCCCATTTTCCGCCTCACCCCCCATCCTCCTCTTCCCGTCTTCCCTTTTCTGCCCAGCGCGCGCAACCGATTGGGCATCATTTGCATGTCTTGCACTTCAGGGTGCCCTTCTTTGCGTCGCGCGGGACATTGTGCGGGTCGGGGAACGCCGACTTCGGTAGTCCTCTCTTGCACGCGCCGCTGCACTGATAAGCCTGGCAACTGCGCGCTGTGAGCCCGAGTTCCTCGCTGCTTCTGCACGCCACTTTAGCTTCTTTCGCCGCTCGATGATCTTCCACTTGCTTCTGCTTCAAATGTTTCGTGTCCGAGAACGCGCCTTTGCACGCCGCGCACGTCAGCGGCTTCGCGTCCGCCTCTGCTTTCCGCTTGCGATTCTCTGTATCCGCCTTCTCGTTCCGCCCACCCTTCTTGTTGCGGGCGCGCGCCCTGCAAAACCTCTCCCCCGCATCTTTCGAGTCGTACTGGTTCGCCGCCACTTCCGCCTCCGTCTTCAAGAAATTCTTGCACTTCGCGCACCGAATCTTGAATTTCTCCTGAACCTTCTCCTGCCGCGCCGCCGACTCCTTCCGTGACTTCCGCGCCGTCGCGGGCCCCGCGCATCTTTCGCACTTGCTCGTCCTTACGTACACTCGCCTTCCGCGAACCTCGTCCTCTGGCGCCCTCGGCCCCAACGCGGCCCACGTCTTGCATTCGGTGCACCATTTTTCGCCCGCTTCCTTCAACTCATCCGCGCACTCGCGACAAAAACACGGCCCGTCCTTTTCCCTGAACTCTGTGAGCGTGAAACCCGCTTTCTCCTTCAAGGTGCTACATCTACTGCACATCTTACGGGGCAGCAGCTTCGCTTCTATTTTCGCCCACGGCACCTCCTCCCCGCGTAACTTGCCCAGCAAATGTTTCGCCCTTTCCATCTCTCCTTGCGATCATCATCACCATCATCATCACCATCACCATCATTTCCATCATCACCGGCATCAGCATCACCATCATCATCATCATCCCTTTCTCCTGCTCCTATTCGTGCTCATGCTCGCCTCCTTCTCCTCATCATCGTCCTCATCCTCCTCCTCCTACTCCTACTCCTACTCCTCCCCTGCCGCGTCCTTCTCCTCCTCCTCCTCCCCAGCATCCTCCTCCTCCTCCTCTTCTTCCTCCTCCTCCTCATCATCATCATCATCCTCCTCCTCCTCCTCTTCCTCCCCCTCCTCTTCCTCCTCCTCCTCCTCATTTTCGTCCTCCTCCTTTTCCTCCTGCCTCCTCCTCCTCCTCCTCCTCCTCCAAATCTACACCGAAAACGAAACATGTTGGAGGAGAAAACGGCCAAACCGCCTGAGACATCCCCACAAAATTCTGCGAACGGGACCCCGTGCAAACATCCCCCGCCGCCCCACGTAGAGTGCTGAAACCAGCGAATCGCCGGAGACATCCTCCAAATCTGGTTCGAAAACGAAACATGTTGGAAGAGAAAATGGCCAAACCGCCTGAGACATCCCCACAAAATTCCCCGAACGGGACCCCGTGCAAACACCCCCCGCCGCCCCCCTTAGAGTGCTGAAACCAGCGAATCGCCTGAGACATCCTCCAAATCTGCTTCGAAAACGAAACATGTTGGAGGAGAAAAAAGGCCAAACCGCCTGAGACATCCCCACAGAATTGCACGAACGGGACCCCGTGCAAACGCCCCCCGCCGCCCCCCTTAGAAGAGCTGGGGCCACATAATCGCCTGAGACATCCTCAACATCAGTGTGTGTGTGTGTGTGTGTGAGTCATCTGATGAGTGGACCTGACAGAGTGTAGTGAATGTAATGAGTACAAGTATGAATGAATCTGCTTGATGAGTGCGTCTAAGTGATGAATGAGTCTGAGTGAAACTGAGCATGAGGGAATCTGAGTGGTACTTGAATCTGATTGATGAGTAAGTCTGGTTGATAAGTGAGTCTGAGTGATGAGTTAGTCTGATCTGAGTGACGAGTGAGTCTGAGTGATGACTAAGTCTGAATGATGGGGTTCGTGTTCCT